GAAGCCCGGTCGTTTTTATGCGTTTTTGCCTATATGCAAATTGCGAAAACGCATATTGCGACGACCCTGTCTGTGTGTATGTGTGTGTGTTCGTCTGTCGGGGTATTTCAACTCGACAACCAAGCAAGTTCTAGCGCCAAGACTTTGCTTGTAGGTTCCTCTGCCAAGTGCCACCCCAGAAATTTAAGGTGGTCGTGCGCGTTGCGCAAGCGTGCGCAGCAGCTAAATTTGAAATCTACAGCTCACACATGCAAGAGAATATCTCTGCAAAGTTTCAGCTTTGTACCTTGCCTGGTTCGCGAGATCACTTCTCGCCAAAGAAATTTGCATATTTTTTGAGGAGGCCCATACGCGGGGTCTAGGCGAGCATGGGAGGAAGATCTTAAAAGGGGAGAGTGGCACACGGGGTAGGAACATATACCCAAAATTTTATCCTCGCAGCTTTCCTGATTACTGAGATGAAAATGGGTGGCAAAATGCACTCGCTACACACATACAGACAGTCTCTCGACAATATGCGCCTTTGCTGGCTGTAATAACGCTATAGCGCTGCACAGCCAAAACACATAACAGATGAGCGAAGAATAGAGCAACTGATTTGGTTTTCCGTTTTGCCGAAGAGTTACGCTGCTTACCACAACATCAATCTCATCACGATTTTTACTAAAATACATTTAGGGACTTGATATTAGCTCAGGTTCTAGAGCTAGCTTGCTAAAATGCAATTCCAGCGGGCAGTGTTATTTCCTTAATCTGGTTTTGTATCTTTTCTAGCCAGTTTAAACACCATGATATATGCTTGGTTTTAGCTATTCATGAACATCAAAGAGGAAAAGCTGGTGTGCCACCACTACTCTATTCTTACACGAAACTTAATTCCTATTGTCTAGGTATCAGTGCCCGGAATGAGGCGGCCAATGTGTGATCGCGAGCGAATATGCTTGGCGAGGTTACGTCAGTGGTTAAATTCGCAGTCCAGACACGGTCAGCCAAGATCCGTTAATTATCCAGATGAAGTTGGCTTTATGATTCCAGATGAGGTCCATTTCAAAGCTTCTTGTGTGATGTGTAATTTTCCATTGATTTGCTGTTGTGAGAAAGGGAAATGCCTTTGCGTGACAATATGTAAAGAAAATTTGCCCAGCTTAATTAAATCAAAATTCACAAAAAACTAATTTGAAATATTTTCGTTTGACAACTTTGGTGGCTTCGTCAATATGGGGCACTCTTTGTTGTGGGAAATGTTTCCGGTTACCGAGTGCAATAGTGGTGAGCCCAGCTTTCTTGGACTTATTGCTTCATGTCGTTAACTGCCGCCCCCCCCCCCTCCTCCCCGCACAAGCGTATTCGATGGGGACCATCCGCCTGTTATTTTTCGTTTTGTGGATACCACGCTTCGATGCACATAACCAATAGACTTCTAGTAAATAAACAGTTTGACGCGCTTTAGGAGTTTTGTTTCCTGTCGTAATTATTTGCAATGAACATGTTTAGGTGCTGCGATATTGTGGCGAGAATGTTCTAACATTCACTTGTTTGGAAAAGTTGCCGAGGAAGACTCGGGTGTACGAAGCTTCTGAAGCTGAAGCGGGATTTCAGGTGTGTTTTACGACTTTAGCATTCCAGAAGCTTCGAATGACTTCAGTTTACATTCTCCAAATTAATGATCGTTTAGCAGCAATAATAGCTTTCCGAGCTGTTAAAAAGGAAAGAGCATCTCTTCTTAGCGTCTTATGTCTGCAGTGGTACCATTTTCTAACAAAGCGTATTTTATAGCTTCGTCACTCCGAGTTTTGCTTTCAAGGCGCTTTTCACATTCCGGCTAGCTTTTTATGCGTTTTTTGCAGCTATGCAATGCAGAAAACGCTTACTGACAAGAGGTTGTCTGTGTGTTTGTGTGTGCGTGTGTTTGTGTGTGTGTCTGTGTGTGTGCTGCGCGTCTGTACCGATTTTTCATCTCGAGACCTAC